GGATGAGATGGTTAGATAGCATCACTGAAGCAATGAGCATGAAACAGCAAACTCAGGGAGGCAGTGAAGGACAGGAAGGCCTAGCGCAATATGGTTCATGGGGTCACGAAGAGTCAGACACGACTTAATGACTGAACAAATATAGGTAGTCCTCACTTACCGATGGTAATTGTGACCAGGAATTCTGTCACTAAGCAACACAGTTGTAAGGCATGCCGTGACTGCACCAACTTACCACAGTGGTTCTTGCAGTTCCAGCTGCTGCTGTTAGGCAAATCCCGCACAGTCACAGCATCCTGTAGCCATGTGATCGCCATTTGCAACATCCTGCTGCCTTCCCAATTGACTCTGCTTGTCAGAAGCCGGCAGTGAATGTCACAAATAGCAGTCACGTGACTGCAGGACACCATGATGTCATAATTGCAAGCTGGTTACTAAATGCTTAAATCATGATCACATGACCATCAGGGTGCTGGGAGAGCTGCAACTAAGAGGAGTAGCTCTAAGTTTCCCTTGGTTGGTATCGGCATAATTCCAAATGGTCACTGAATGAGTGGGTGTTAAGTGAGGGCTACTTGTACTTGGCTTCAATTGGCAGATACACTGCTAGTAAAAAAACAAAGTAGACCTGGCAAGCCTAAAGGTGGCCTTTTCCTGTTATACTACATTGTATATTGTTCCAAATCTTCCATCCCCAACTTAAAAGTTCCATGTTAACATTCCTTTTCAAACAACACAACTGGAGAAAGTGTAGAACTGAAAGAGGACACTTGAATTATGCTTCTGTTAAAGTACCTCTCCAGGAGTACTGTCCTGTCTTTTTGAGTGACCAGAGTGACATTGTTCACAGCAATTGCCAATCTTAATAGAAAATTAGTTGCCCATCTTCAAGACAAAAGAAATAAAAAAAATCATAGGGCTTCTCACTAGATTCAGTAAATAAAGACTTCGGAAGAGTAAATGTGCTAGATTAAGCTGAATCCTTAATTAAACAAGAACAGAGCAGAATAGTGGAAACAATACGTACATATGGGTGTACACAGTGAATATGCAAAAATGTCAGTGCAAAATAATTAAATGTCCACATAGACATTAACACTGACTCATTCTATAGCTGAAAAGGCAATTCTTAGAAGAATATAAAGGTTAATATAAAATGCCAAGTATAAAGACCTTCAAATATATAAAATTTGGGTTTTCAAGGAAAGGAAAAAAAAGTTCACAGGGATCTGGATTAAAGCTTAATATAACTGACAGCTGAACAACGTACCACCCTGAAAGAATGAACTGCAGATTTGTAGACAGCACAATGAATACTTCTCCCTTAAACCTATTTAATTTGTATTTTGTGAATGTCTATACTTTCCAGAGTTCAAATGCACATTTATCTTTATCAGTCATCTTAAACATGAGCGGAAAAGGTTCAAAATTTATAGATTCCACTGGATGACTCTGGTGAAATCATTTTTTTCTTAGCCCAATATATTTCACAGGTTGTTCAAACGGGAGAATAGACGGTCATATATATCACCTTGAATTCCCAGAGAAAAGCAGTGAGGCATGTAAAATGTTTTAAAATAAGAATGGAAAAAACAAATTAAACTAAGCCACCAAAAACTTTAAAAACCAGGTTTTTCTTTTTTAAGGTTACAAGCCACTAGGCCTTTAAATGTCAAAACCAGAACTTGGAATTATACCTGGAAACTGACTGGAAATCAGTGCAGCTGAAATAACTTCAGCTTTATTTTTATTTATTTTCCCAGTTATAGTGCCTGCTGAACTTTATTCCTCATGATGAATTTCATTTTGAAAGGTTCTAGAATAATTTTTTGTATTTGTTAAATGTGTATCCTGCCTTATCCATCATATGGTACCCAAGAACTTTATTATTTTATTTTTGCCCATTTTTTTAACGTTACAGGCACTTTCATTTTTACAGATTTAATAAGTCTATGAGATTATCGGTGGGATCTTTATTCAACTTTTCACATGGTTGGGAATACTTAAGACTGACTCTAAGCTAACTCACAAATGTACAAATCAAATTGAGTTGCAATTACATGCAACTATTAACTTGTAACAGCTAGTAGATTCATATTTGTATTCCCATTTTAAAAGATTATTGTTAGTACAGTGGTACCTCAAGATACGAACTTAATCCGTTCCGTGACCCTGGACGTATCCCGAGTTGGTCGCAACCCGAGGCAAATTTCCCCATAAGGTTCAATGTAAATACGGTTAATCCGTT